GTTAGTGATTTTTTTTCAGTGCTCCTTAAGTGCAACATTTGTCAAGTAATTGCTATCTGCATCCTGTCCTCACTTTTGTACTAGATAATCAGGAGTAAATCCCTGAGAAATCACTTCCCAGCGCTACACAGACTCATTCAAGACTGACGAACACAGACTAGTCACAAGCCTAACACATGAGGCTCCATGAACAACTCATAGACTGGCATTTTTTGGCTCTCACTCTCAGCTAGAGCTGAGCTAGAAAAACAATATCCCCTTACCTACATGAATTCTCCAAAATGTGATAATGGCATGATTTTAAGAATGATGGCATAATCTCCTTATAAGATTCCAGACAATATTTTTGCTCTTTTTTTTCAAAAAGTTCTTATTTCCGAAACATCCATGAAGCCTTAAACTGACATTTTTAAGTTACTTGTGTTTCCTGTCCATTAATTTATAGTGATTAATACAACCCCAGTAACATTCAAGACACTGTGTGAAGATATTATTATCAGCAAACAGTGCTGTTAAAAATCATAATTCTAGGGGGATACTATGTGCCAGTGTATTTAAAACTGAACACAGGCAGACATTTTTACACAAAGGGTTAAAAGAGTCTGGTACAAACTACCTATCCACATTGCTGTAGCCAATACCTTAGTTTCTTTTAAGACATTACTGGATGAGAGCCATGGATCAGTCATTAACAACCAACCAAGCTAATATTCTGTTCTTATTCACATTACAAAATGCTAAATATAATCATCACTTCTATGTAGTTCATGGCTGTCAGCATCCCTAGGTATATTAATACAGACCACGTCTGCTCAGGAGTGGTAAAAATAAGGTTTCTGCTGACTGCTGAGCGGGACCTAGATCTGAATTTGTAACACAATGAGCGGGTGTGATGAACAAGTCCAGTGACTGTGCGTCTCTGCAGGACAGAGCCATGAGAAAAGCCCCATCAGTGGCTTCTGACAGTCTAAGTCAATATAGAGAGCTCTGCCCCAGTCTCTTGTCTTTGAGGACCAGACATTTACAGCTGTGTTTCACTTGGTAGCTAATTCCAACATAAAACAGGACAGCTTTTCCTCATATTCACATTGTTTGTGTATTTAAGATCAGAGGTGGATTAAAAAAAGGAGAGCACACTCAGACCTTTCTTCATCACCCTTGCTGTGCAGGAATGTAGTGTGACACACCTGTGTCAGTATGATCCTCACAGCCCTCCCTCTTGTGATAGGAGCAGATGGCTACATTTTACATCTAATCTTGCGGGGTTCTGGGATATCATTCACTAATAGATGGCAATGTGTTGTCGCATATTGAGTACATCTTCAGCAGCACCCCCAACCTAACATGCAGGACAATTACCATCACTTTCAAATCATCACACACGGTATAACAGATACCGTTAGAGACCTCCAACGCATGTAAATTATTCCCCCTGAAAAGAAGTGTGGTATGCAACAATAATTTACTACAGATTGTTTCATGCATTTTTGTGTGTGGCAAGATCAAGAAACAAAGTAACCCCAACCTCATGGTTGGGTGTAGGAAAGGGGGATGTGGTCTGGTGTCACAGAACTAAGGGGACAGCACAAAGAACAGCAAGTTCCTCTGATGTCTGTTGTGACATTTTGTCTTGTAGTTTGGCAGCTCACGTGCACTTTCTGGTATATTGTATTTTATTCTATTGTACTCTTCTATTCTACTTATGGAACTAGTTATACTAGTTATGGAACTACACTCCAGCTTCATACATTAAACATTTTAATGATTCTCTGTTTCAAAGAAGGGGGATATATACAAGTAACAATGGAGCGTGTTATGCTTGACTCAAAAATAAACCTGCCTCCGATAAATGAATGAACCCGGACTAAGCTTTAACGCGCAGTAAAAAGCAATCTAATTCAATTTAAAAGATTATCTTTCGCAAAACATCTGGAAATAAAAGTTGAGATGCAATATCATTGAAAGAGTGTGCATGACTGAATGATATGAGGCAAAGCTGTTCAAATATTTGTAGATTTGCTAATATTTACTCACAATATAAGGGTTCTAGTAACAGTTACTTTCTCTGCTCCATGGTGCAGATCTGTCTCTTCAGGGCAACACACGCCTCTCCACAGACTTTGTTTGGGATCATCGGTTTCACATCACACTGTTGTACATCAACGGCGGGGCACAGATACCCGTTACATACAGGTTCTCTGTGGTGCAACGCTACATCCATCCATTTTCTTAAAACTTTGTCCAATGCAGGGACATGACGAAGCCAGAGCCTAACAATGCTACATAAACTCTACAAACGCTATACAACACTCCTGTTTATATGTGTGAAAGCTGCCATTTTTCTCAAAGCAAATATCCATATCATAGAAAGGGCTCCCTCACACTCAGGGCTTATGTTAACTATTGGCATTTATTTTTAAATAAAACATTATTTTAGGGTGTTTCTGTGAAGATAAGACTCATTTTCTGTATTTTCACTTTTGGTGTGCTGTAACAGACCCTCTAGTTTCTAGTTTTGTTTATGGCCACAGGCAAGAAACACTTTCAGTTTGTCCGGGTTATGGTTCAGGTTTAAGATTTCTCATCTTGGAACTGGTCCTTTCTATTTCCTTTTCATCACAGCTAAATTACACCACGTGCTCCATTTCTCACAAAACAAAGTAGATATGAAATGGACATTGAATTAAAGTGTATATATATTTTTTTTAATTTACTGTTATATCTATGTGTAACAGTAAAAGAACAGTATGAAGTTGTCAGTTGTCAATTTTCAAGGTATTCAAGATTTATATGCATCTGTTTTTCATTCAAATACTGTAGCAGATGATGTAGCAGGTACTAGAATCTTTGGTACTGTAATGCCACAATAATTTAACATTTTCTACACCTTGTATACAGTTTTCTGGGCTTTTGTGTGAGACAAAGAGTGGGATTCTTCTTCACAAGTAAGTTTTACACTGTTGTCTTGTTGTACTGTATGTTGTCATTCCCTTCTGAATCTAATGCTTTCCAGTAAGCATGTCTAGCAGGCGGTCGTGTATTTACTGTACTGTGCGGAGCATACAAAGGGGAAAGGAAGGTGCCTTCAAATCTGTAATGGGAAAGGAAAGAAATCCCTGTAAACTGAATACGCCTTCCTGACGCCTTCCTTTCTCTTGTTTTATGTCAGAGGTGTCTTAGTTATTTCTGGGTTAAAACCAAAAAGACAAAGCCCATGTTCTACAGTACCGAAGTCCCGAGTTTCCACAAGGCACGTGGTGACACAGAGAACAATCTGAGCGGCATCATCAGCTTCATCACTAGGAGGCTGGTAGTGAACATGGCAATCGGCACAACCCCTGGTTACCAAGAACATAGGAAAGGTCAAAAATGAGAACAGGCCCTTCACTCCGTCTTGCTTGTTTGGTATTTAGTGTTTGTTTACTGAAAAAGGCTAGGGTATCAGCCTCAACTTTGTGCTTGGGTAGCTTGTTCCACACTCCCACAACCTGCTGTGCCTCTTATTCTCTGTTTGAATTGCACTTTCATGCAGTGTCCTCTCATTGAGGTTTCACCGATTCTGAAGAAATCCGCGGTTTTGACTTTGTCAATGCCTTTGCGGATTCTGAAGGCAACACGCACTCAAGGCGTGCACCGTTGTACAGCGCCCTTGAGTATTTCTGTATTTCTGTCTGCAAATGGCAGATTGATTCACATGCAGTGGTGATATGCAAATTGCATACTAGCGCACGTTAATCTGCATATTATTTTCTTAGTGAATACAGGATAAAGAACTACAGTTTTGCACGTGGTTTCTCCCTACCAGTCAGTAATAATGGAAATCTGAAGGACTGTTGAACACACCTTTTTATGCTTTCTAGCATAATGAGAGCCAGAGATAGGGCCATCCTCTTTCATAGCATGGTATCTAAAGAAAGTGTTTTTACCAGTAATCAGAGTGATACATTGTCTTTTCAGAACAGTGATACTAGGATTGTTTTATTATATACTGTTTAATTAAAAATTCTCCTTTACAATGATGATCCAGAAAACCTTTATATAGCAAGGGATTTACTGTACATTACTGAGGGACAGTACAGTCAATTTAAAAAGCTTGTTTGAGAGTACAATAGCAGCAAATCCAGGATTTGATCCCAAAACCCTGTGATTTGGAATCTAGTCCCCAAAGGTGACCAAAAGGTACTGTGTTATGCAGTATAACTATTGCAAGATAAAAGAGGCAGAAGAGAAATTTGTTTCATTTCACTTGCTAGTGCAGGTGATGAACAAAAAGCAACATACCTGGCTAAGAAAAGGCTTTCTGTATCAGGTGCTGTCAAAATGTGCCCTGCCTGTAAACATACCCAAAAAGGATTCACTTCTTTTTAAAATTTAACCCCACTGCAGTGAAAAGCACAGGGTTCCAACCTTCATCATTTAAAAAAATATTTTACATTGAAAATAAGAAAACAATGACTGTTAACCAAGAACTGTTTTAGGGTTTATTTTACAATTGAGAAAAAAAAAACATCAGGTTTATTGTGCGAGCCAATTTTTTTTTTACATAATTCATGATAAAACATTGAAATGTATAATTCATTGTGCATTGCTTATTGTCACGTAATAACATGCACCCAAAACAGATGCACGCATAGTTATTTTGTAAACCAAGCTGGAGGAACTAGATTTTATTTTAAAAAAACAACAAAAAACATGGCTCTACAGTATATATATACAGAATTTGTTTTTGTTTTTCATATATAAAATGACAATATAAAAGTTAAAGAATGCACACAGTCTGAAAGTACAAAGAAAGTTGAACTGTTGCAATGGCAAGATATGTAGTTTTATACACTGTTGCTGAATTTACATGGAATTATTTTTTGACAAGTTGAAATTTAAGCTGCACACTATATAAAGATAAACTTTTACCAAAGCTTATATTTGTAAATTACTATAAATTGATATTTTACAAGGAAGAGAAATCTTGAATGTTGTAAAACAAACCTGCACACTTCTACTTTTTTTTTTGCCAAAAGCTGCAATTTATTTCCCCTCTGTTTGCCTGCGGATTAAATTATTTTATATTGTACACTTACAAAGGTGACTTGCAGATGCCTTCAGAACTGAAGATTTTATTTAGACCATTGAGAAGAAATCCTTTGAAGAATTCAAAGTCAAAAAGTAAGTGATCATTATAATCAATCTGAATTTGCGCAATGCAGAAAAAATAAAAATACTGGTATTCTTTATAAAATAAAGTTTTACACTTTTCTTAAGGTGCAGAAATGCTACTTCAGTCTCGAAAAGGGCTCACCCATTCCTTTTTGTTTTACTTTAGCATCTTCATATCAATTAGGATTTGACATACTGTAGGTTTCGCATTGTGGCCACAGCTGTGGCCTGAAGAGAAACAGTAGTTGTATTTTTTATTTGTTGAAGAGCAAAAACAGAATGAAAACAAGTGTTAATCCTTGATTCACAAAAAGACATGCACAGGTCAGACAAATAGCATATAAATACATTACAAAATAAGTGTTAGAAAAGACATGGTCCAGTTAGGCAGTTTTACACATAAGTAAGACTGATTTCGAAGGCTCAGGTCAGGCCTAGTGCAGTACTGTGATTAGATTTAGTGCAATGATTCTCTGGTCAGTTACACAGCTGCTCACCTGGACTTTACTGCTTCTCTAGCTTCTCTAGTTCAGAGACGTACACCAGATGGTCCTCTGGTGACTTGCCATGAGTTTTGCTAAGGTGCAGTTTGACTGCGTGCTTGCTGGCGAAAGTTCGATTGCACAGCTTGCACTGGAAAAGGGAGCTGGATTCATCCTCCGCCAGCCCGAGTGTGCCGAACGTCTTGTCGGTTATCACCTTTGAGACAGCCTGCTGCTCCCGTATGTGATCTATCGAGAGCTTGGACAGGTCCTTCAAGCTGAAGCCTAAATGAGATTCTAAGTGGTTAATGTACGTAGAGGGAGTCCTGAACTGAGAGGCACAGTCATTACAAAGGAACACTGGCTGGCCTGAATCTATGTTCTTGAGGAATTTGGTTCCACCTGTCCGCCTCAGCTGGTACTTCACGTTGGCCAGCCAGTGGCTGATGGTGGTCATGGACAGACCTGTGAACTTGCATATGTGCACCCGTTCCTGTGGGCCGAGGTCAGTCATGATGTATTTCCCCTCAGGGGTTTCCCTCAGACTGGAGGCAAACTGAGCCTGCAGAATTAGGAGGTGCTGGGGGTTCCAGTTCGACTGCCGGCCCTTTCGCTTCTGCACTGGGGACAGCTCCTCCAAGGTGTCCTCAAATGTGCTGCCATCGGCGTCTGACTTCTCCGAAACGGACGAAGGCGTTGACGACTTGGGAGTCAGGCGCCCTGTGAGGTTTTTTACCATGTCGGAGATGTCCATCAGCGCATTCTCCCTCAGTGGAGATGAAACGGATTCTGACAAAGTGGACATGATGGGTCTGCTGCTGCTGTTGTTGGCGGTGTTGTTGGCGGTGGTGGTATGGGTATTGCCATTGCTGTTTTTGGATTTTGTCAAGTCCATAGGCTGGTCATTATTTTCGTAGTAATACCTGTTGATGGACTCTGCTTGCTTGACCTGAGTTGGGGGGTAAATTGGCTTCTCTAACATGCTGTTACTAATTTTATACAACATTGCCAAGGGGTCCAAGACGGGGCTTACCGGCTTTGATGCTTTGCCTAAATGAGTGTTCATAATAGATTGCAATGCGCTAAGAGGGTTAACGAAAGGCTGTTCTGGTGAGTGGTCAGTAATGATTCCCAAAGTGTTACAACCATTGCTGACTGGTGGTTTGAGGGCATCTGTACCATTTTTTATGTGATTTTCCTCCTTCTGCATCTTCGCAGGCTCTGCTTCCACAACACTGTTTTTCTTTGCTGCCTTGCAGCTGAGGTCGTCAGGCTTGGGAGAATCTTTGTTCTCTTTGGAGGTGGGGGATGATGGCTTCACCTGGGCCGGCTTGCATTTTTCCACAGGCCTCTCCTCCTTCTTCACATTGATTTTACCTGTCACTTTCTCTACCAGCTCCTCCATGGCCGAGACATTGCTTTTGTGGACCGGGGGAGAGGTGCTCCCAGGGGAATGGATCACTGTAGACGACTGATCAGATGACAGTGTTTGTGTTTTTATACTGTTGGTGTAGGATGGCTGCACTTGGACGCTCTGCACATTGGGCAGGGCCGATTTCACTGACCCCTGCAGCTGGTAAGCAGCATGGATGCTGGGATATCCACCCCAGGTTGGCGTTCCATTCTGGGCTTTGCTGATCGCGCTGGAGACTGTGTTTTCCAGGGATTTAAGGATGTCTATCCCCCCCTTGGGAGTCTCTTCTAAATCTTCTTCTCTGAGATACTTGTATGGCGTGTTTGTCTCAGTTTTCTCACCTGGATCTTCTTTTTCCTCTTTGATTTTCTTCTCTGGTTCGGTGACCTCCATCTTGTCCTCTTCCATGTCTTTTTTCTCCTCAGAACCGGAAGAATGAGCCGGGGATCCTGGTTGGGACTTGATATTGGACACGGGCAGCCTTGTAGTGGTGGGTGGCAGAGGGATGGATTGAATCTTCTCTTCCACCACTGGGTCAAAGACCAGTTGCTTCCCCTTTTTTGAAGCCGAGTTGGTCACTTTAAGAAAATGTCCTGTGACCATCATGTGAGCTGTCAACTGCTGAAGAGTGTCATGGGAACTGCCACATTCCATGCACTTCAGAATTTGGGCCTTGCGGGCTTCGAACTGCCAAGTGTAGCTGGCTCCATTCTGATAGCCGTAGCGGTTGTTTGGTGTCACATATGGGTTAGCGGTTTTCTGGTCTTTCGTTGGCTCACCCATGGGAACACCAGGTGTGCTACTTATAGACTCTGGGGAACAGGGAGAGACCAAGTCCTGAAGTGCTCGTTTTTTGGTAGAGGGAACCAGCTTGGAGGCTAGAGCTGGCACGGGTTCTTTAAGAGGCACTTTCTGGTAATGCTTGGTTTTGATCATGTGGACACTCAGGTCTTGCAAGGACTCAAAGGAGTGCCCACAGTACATGCACTTGAGCACTTTCTGCGCATCCTCTTTCCCTTCCATCTCCATCAAGGAGCGTTTCCTGGGCTTCGACCACTTCTTGCTGCTGTCCTCCTCTTTGTCTTTGTTGTCGTCCCTATAGTGTCCCGTCTCGTTCATGTGCACTGTGAGGCCCACAAGTGTATCGTAAGCTGCGCTGCAGTCCTTGCAGCGGAACTTACTGGCGCCAGTGAACACTGAGCCATACAACTTGCTGTTCTGCCTGTAGAGCTGCACTGTACTAAACAGGCTGGGCTCTGGCAGGAGGCTGTAAGGGGTCTGCTGCAAGGTTTTAGCCAGCGCAGCTTGATGCCAGTCATAAGCTATCCCTCCTCCATTGGTCGTGCTGTTGCTCGTGGTGTTGTTGCTACCATTATGGCTGCTCCCATTGCTACTGGTGCTGGCACTCACAGGCTTGGTTTTCATTATATCCCTGGCAATGCTGGACCAGGAGGAATCCGAGATCAAGTTTGCATAGACGGCTTTCATCTGTGCCAGGCTGTCCTGTGTGGACAGACCATTGTCAGAGCCGGCAGCCTCTTCCTTCTCCTGGCCGTCTCTCGAGGAAGTGCTCTTGAAGTCTGCCAGCCTGTCGCTGGTGTCGCTGAGGGGTGACGCATACCCTGCATCCTGATTGGTTGCAGTGCTGAGGGGGGAGTTCTGATAGCTGGGGGCATCTTTGCTCTCCTCCTCCTCGGTGCACAGAAACTCGTTGTCCTGGGCGTCTAGGGACAGCCCATCGTCCTGCAGGTTGTCTTCATCAGCCTCTGCGGCCTTGAGCTCCTCCTCTGGCACGTATGCTGAAAAACAAGAATAGACGAGGCTGCTGTTAGAGTATGTGCAATAGTTTTTCAGGCCTAGAAGTCATCTGTCTGGAACTGTGAATGTTTTGCGTGAAGCAACTAATGATTCCTTGGAACTTTTGTCAATAGTCCAGGCAGGGGACATACATTTACAATTAGAGAGTTGAAATATCCATATCCTGACCATGACAGATAATACCCTTCACTGGACTGAAAAAGAAAGATATAATAAAAGTCAGCAAGAATAAATGGTTAGCTGTAGCAATACAGTTACAATATGCTGGTGTCTGTGGTAATAAAAGAGAAAACCAGCCAAGACTTTATCTAAAGACACTTACAATTTCTTAATTGTACTACACAAATCTGTCTTTTTTGTACGTCATAGAAATATTACTAAGAATGCAAACAGATACGCGCATGAAGCAGGAACTGCAATAAGAATGAATGTATATACCTACTGATCTATCTGGTTGTATGGTCAGATTAAAGTCAAGAGGTAAACTAGTTATACACATGGAAACAGTAAATGCAAGTGCAATATGGTTCTAAAGTGGTTAAATGGATGGAATCAATAATAAATTAGGCTCCACCTAACCGCCATACAATATTCATGAAAACTGGTGCTTTTTACAAACCTCTTCCACACCACTAGCCTCTAAAACAAATCAAACTATCCAGCAACTTGTGTTGTAAAAAAACAATTTTACTAACAGAGACACTAGCAGCTCGTTATGGCCTTCTCAAACAAGAATCAGCTAATTCTGCCAATCAGTAAAAAACATTCGCATTGGTGATTCTCTTTAATTTCCCTTGATACCCAAGGGCTGTTTGACCAGAGAGGATCTTCCAAGAGTAGATGCCAGTTAACGGATTTAACTCAGGGCAAGTAACAGAAAACACTGATTAGGCCTGCATGTATGCATTCCAACATAATAAATAAGCGCAGACAAAGAGGAAAAGCACGAGTGAGGAATTATATTAGAATACGTTTAATGATGCTTACAAACACCCTGTATTTTCCTTGTGGGAAATGCTTTGAAAAACTAGAAAGTGTTAAAAAAGGAGCAAGTCCGCTGTTTTTGATAACATTGTCACAATGTTGTCTGTAAACTTCCCAGATACTACTAACATACAACACTGACAGACTGGCCCTTAAAATGCTGTATGAAACCATTAATCCTCCTGTGGAATTACTGTCCACAGACACCTGGGGACTGAAATTGGGTGGATCATTTTCTGTTTTGACTGGATTTAGATGTAGAGGTATTTATTATCTTTTGTTAGTAAATTAATAGTGAGAGGTAAAAACATGGAAGTCAGAAATATTTATGATTTAGCAATAATAACTGCATGTAAATATGCTTTTATACCCTAGTATACTACAACTGCATTACTGCAGGTATACACAAATTGCTGTTTCATAAGCATTTTTTAAAACAGTTTACCTAAAAACAAATTATACACTATTCATCGTTCCAGATCCAAAGGTTTTGTGACAAACAGTAGAAAAAGAAGGCAAATTCTACATGTTCCCTGTACTTTCTGAAATCCATTCTGAGCCATACAGGATGAAGAATGCAATGTGACCTTATTTTTAGATTTTGGCAGCTCCTGTTGTGTTCCCTTTCACCCTGATGCAATATAAGCTTTCTCTGAAAAACATGCACAGGTATTGGGCTTCCGTGCAACGTTCACAAGGAACCACAAAGAAGAGGCAAGGAGGAAAAAACACTGTGGTACACAGAAGAGTGTATGACCACCGTCACAGCAACAGAGCCTGAAACTGGCCTTCCCTGTGTAATACATCATTACAACCCCTTCTGTAACAAGGCACAAGTGCGAACTATGTGCAAGTGCATTTAAAACTGAGAACAAAAGGTGGGTCTTTACCCAAAGGGTTGCGGGAGTATGGAACAAACTACCAAGCCTTGACATTGGAGCTTATATTCTGGTTTCTCTAAGAAACGACTGAATGACATCCTTGGATCAATTATCTACTAACCACGTGGCCTCCTCTCTTTTGTAACCTTCTTTGTTTTCACTGAAGCTAAAACATTTCACCAGGTAAGAGTCACGGTATGTTGCGGCACACTTCATATTTTTAGTCTGCACCTTACTGCTCTGCCAGACAAGTGTGCAATTTGTTTACGTTAAGCATGAAAATGGGAATTATTTGGAATACATGAGCAACAACAGATCTCCCCATAATATAACCTCAATTTTGCATTAATAACTCCTCTACGTCTTTTTGTTATATACTTCTGGCGAGCTGCTCTATCCATCTTCCAATTACAGTCTCCTTTTTTCACGATTTTAGTACAGGAGCAGAAGATAGTGGTCAAAGGTTTGTCGGGAATTTTCCAACCAAAATCAAACACTGCGCGTTCCAGAAAAAAAAAAGAATTAACAAACCCGGGACTGCAGGGACGTTGGTGAAAATGGAATCGCATACAAAAAGACCCAGAGATTTTGCGATTCACAACAGAAAACTTTATCAGATGCATGTACAGGAGCGAAGACTTGCTCTCACTCAGTTACACGATAAAGCAGCTGTCCGCTGCTGATGCATTCTCTCTCCTACCACGGGACCCACGCACGGGCCTTTGTATTTCAGATTGTGTGTGAGTTATTGCCGAGATGCGCGAGAGCAAGAGGCTCTGCTCACAGAAATTGGGCTGACGATAGCGGTGAAAGTTCTCTCAGCATGCCGCGCAGAAATGTAAGTGGAGATGACATGTCATGTTGTCACGGTCCATGTTGTACTAAATCTTAGGAGCCGAGTGTGCAGTGACAGACAGCCAGAGAGAAGAAGCAAAAAAAACAACAACAACAACAACAACAACAACCAGGATCCCTTCTACACATCCATCTCTCTCTCGATCTCACTTCATTTGTGTCTTGTATTAGAAAAAAACAAACCAGCAAGGATCTCGATACCACAGACGGGCGAAGGTTCTAGTCGTCTTAAGACTCGACTTTGTCTAGCAATTTCCCCTGATGTAATTTTGAAATTATGGAGAGAGACTAAACAGGATTAAAACGGTATGGTCCGCTGACTCAAGACTGGCAACGTTCCACACCTTTTCACGGTGAAATCCATTTGTGTGCCACTCGACTACATGTAGAATAATTTTATTTGATATCTTACGTCAAGAGAAACATCAGTGAACAGCTTCTGGGAATCACAACATTACACAGCAAAGACGGATTAATACATTCTGATAGAAACTACTGAATAACACCACCAGACTAATGACGTCATTTGACATCAGCAGTGCAAAACTGAGTTAAAACAATGTGTAGGTTTGAATGAATTATTAATTAGTTCCTAAAACATATATAAATACTGTACATATAGCGTGCAGAAAGGGAAAATGGTTCTTGCAACAGAATTTGCCTGCCAGACTGAGTAAGATATAGCATTCATCAATTTTGTCCATCTTGAGCACACAAAACCATAAAAGATCAGACTGTACTCTGTTCCCCTGCAAACATCGGAAAGTGAACCCTTTCTTTCATTTCAATTTCATTCATTGAAATGAGAAAGTATAACATGAGAAAATAACAGAACTCATTTTTGGGGGGGAAGTGCCCAAATAAGAAAATCAGGATTAAATCCTCTATCTGGATTGCTGTTTCTGATGTTGCACAGTAGACAGACATAACGCCATTTCTCTCCATGTCTTAAAACACAAAGCCTGGATTTCTGAATCCCCTGTTCCAGCAGACACAGCCGCTGGTGGACCTCCTCACTGTTCTGCAAGTGCAGTCACGGTGGTGAGGAGAGGGTTAAAACAGGTAGCAGCTCTGAAAAGAAATCGACATCTCAGCGGCTTCCCTTTATCTCGCACTTCCACCACGAGATGTGTGTCCTAGATGCCAGTATCAGTCTCTCTTGATGAAACAGATGTGCTGTCAGCTTCGAACAGCATGCAACCCTGCCGTATCATAATCTAAGTGGACATAATACCTGATATTTGTAAGGCAGCACATTTACTGCTGCCTGGGAGAAGCCAGAAAAATGTAAACAGCTGTATCAGGAGTGTGTGTGTGGTTTGCAAACCAGCAGGAACCGTGTGTAAATAAAGACTGCTTCACTGAAGGGGGTCATCTACAATACTTTTATTTCTGGTCAATCCGCTTCATTTGATGAAAAGATGTTGATGTTCTCAAAGAGAAGTAATTAACCATTTGTCATCATTCATAGACGAGACTTATTCCAGACCTGCCGAAAGCAATACTGTTTGTGTGGCTTTTAATATTCATATTTGCATCCAATATCCACTAAGCTATACAAGCAAAGCATTCTTTCCTGAATTTCCACTTGTCTACATGCAAATATTTGCATTAAAATAATTTAACAATGTTAAAAAAACAACACTGCAAAATAGGGCTTTTTCTACATCAGGCCCCCTGATGGAATTACGATCAGTAAGTGTATTTTTAAAATCAAAAACATCAACCGTATCCTGCTCAGCAGATAACGCATTTAGTCATGATTTGATGGAACTCAAGGCCAACAATTACATTAAAAAACATAATTTTATTATTTGCTTTAATTACAGACTGGCTACATACTGTACATCTGTGTGGCAGGGGGGTGAGTATCAAAATTAGTAGGAAGAAAAACACAAATCCCACAGGGCCTGGTGTCACTGTGACAAAGGTAAAAACAAAGTAAAGTGCATCTAGTTCCCTTGCTGAGCTGAAATGCTCACAGTGCACAGCCCAGATAACAACTTTCTAATTGAAACTTTTTCTTAGTGTAGCTACTCAAGGAAAACATACAAAAAGGTAAGGAAATTGCATTTCTAGTCAACACAATACATTGCCACTGTGTAAGTGAAGGGTTGCAGGCTGGGCCAGCAGGCACTAGTGCTTCAAGGCAGATCTGGAGTTTCTTCAGAAGCAGTACAGTAAACATGTCCGCAGACCCATAAGCAAATCATCACCCACTTGCCTCAAGCTCAATACACCCCGTAATGTACTTTGCTGCA